TGTCTTTGGAACGATTGTACCTTAAAATGCATAAGCGTACCTAGAAAATCAAAGATGGAAAATCATTTGCATGCACTAAACTGGCATGTCATGTCGGGATATACATATATCAAATTTGAAAAACATCACTCAAAAAATTATTTCTTAATGATACTTGGGTACCAATAAATTTGCAAAGATCTGCATCAATTCTTGCTATCTCACCTATAACGGAAAGGCTGTCGAAATTGGCATAACACGAATCAATCCCTTTTACTTCTGATTAATCCGTCATGGATGTATGAGTGTTTTTATTGTAACCGCCCATAAACCTATCACCTACAACATAACATTATGTGGAAATGCGTGGTTTTTGGTTCCCCCAAGTCATAAACACTGACAGCCATTCGTGTTCTGCTGACTGTATGCGTTTGATGGTTTGCATGGTTGACAACAAGTGAATTGAATACACAGAATCAATTGCATCAACATCTTTTGGGTCTTTGTTTTCATTTTCATTTTTCATTTAATTTGTTCAACCCAATGTCAACTTTCTTTTGATCTTCAGTTTAGTATGAACATCAATTCACGCTTCCTCTGCACATTTCAGCCAGGTCGAGTTGTTTTCAAATAAGCGGTCGAAATCCCTGCGCACCATTCTGTAGCAGTATACGCAACGGTTCGCTTTCAAGCATGGTATTCAAAATAGCGGTATTCAATGTTAACAATATTACCCCGTTTCCCTACCACACTGTATAGCCTAGCTTTAGACAATAGGCATATGGACATCGGTTTATTCATGGATATGCTAATGAGACGACGCAGTAGGACACGTATGGCCTTGGCACTAACGCTTTCTCCAGCCTTTGACGCCCTCTTGAAGAAACTGCGTGGTAAGACGCCACTTTGAAACACAGCCTTGTCAAGCATCTCTCACAGTCGCTGCACGACTTTTGTATGCATATGGTTATATGTGTTGATTTCCAAATTAACTAAAATAAAGTAAATAACCACACAAAATCAATGAACAAGCAACAGTTATATTGAAATACACAGGACATGGTTTATTTTTTGACAGCAGCAATATACAGTACCAGACCCTCATACACATGTCAGTGCCCTCATGTACGGCGAGTATTTATCACACGTAAATGCTTTAAATGAGGCACCAACTCCGTTCTAGAATCAAGGAATCACTGTTGGAAACGAATAGACGGTGTTTTCCGATAGTCTCCCCGTCCGCACTGAGCAAGTAGATAGATGCAAGTCAGCGACTTCGATATATGACCAAGGTCACTAGATGACAAAGTTGAACAATATTTAATTACATCCACAACCATATGTAAGTGAGTATTAGGTCACTTAAAAGGTTTACACATTCACAGAGTAAGTGTGGTGTTGAGCACGTAAAGTGTAAACATTCACGAGATTTTTTGAAAAACTGTTGGACACATGATCTCAAGGGTTGGTTTCAAGTTTGCACTGCATTGGGAATGTGTTTTCCTAAACTGAACGCGATGTCATTCAATTGGATGTACATGTATGGGTGGTTAGAAGCAAGTAACTATTTATTTTATTGTTATATATAAGTAAGGTAATTTATCGGTCAGGACACATGCTTCTGTATTGGAAAAAAAATGAGACATTCGGGGAAAACGTGAGTAAGCATCTGCTTTCGCTTATGCATGGTATGGAAACCCCTTTCTGTCTGTGTATAGGTTTCATTTTTTGTCATCATAATTGTTCATAAGAGATATTCTGAAAGATAAGAGACATAGCCTTAGACCTTGATTGTTGTTTTAATCTGTTGTTTAAGGTTACCTTTGCGGGCTCCACCATAAGATGAGGAGGACATAGTCGAGTTTATCAAGTGATCTCTACAAGTGCAGGAGGATTGACTGATCACCTCCCCATGTGCAATTAGAAACAACTTTTAATTAACCCAGTGCCTACAGACAATTTGCTTTAAGGTATTATACGAGAAAGTAAGATGGTGATGAACATTTTCCCCAAAATTTTGGCTTCCGATCTTTTACACCATTACTCGGAGTGTTCGCTAGATGTTAATGGTTACACAGATGTAACCATTGAAAATATGCCCGGTTAGTGTTACGATGCAAACTTTATGGGAATTGCGTCTTTGTTTGTAATTTATGTTGCTATTTCTATTTAAAGCGTAATTTCTGTTGCTATTTCTAATTAAAGCGTCGACATATTCCATGGTTTGGTAGCTCTCTGCTGGTTTTCTTTGGTAGTCTTGAAAGTGTTTAATTTAAAGAAGGCTGTATGCATGTACGGGTGATGCATTTACTAATCCACATGCCAGGTTTATGCAATTTAGGCGAAATAATGTAAGTTTGGTAGTCGTGAGTATTCTTCGATTCACGTACGATGCGCTACTACTACTCCATTGACACCCGAGATGGTGTGTAGGGAACGGAATAAGCCGGGTGGACCCGAATAACTTCCGAAATGGAGGCATCTCGTGTACGCCTTATGACACTGCAGCTTAGTCTCTCACTGCAAGGTTCGAGTGTTACAGCTCAATACCCCCCCTATTGCACAGTGATATCTGTCGCCGAGAGTCTCGTTAACACCGCTACCCAGTGCAGCGTCACTTGGTTGACCTAGTTTCATGTAACCAGGTCATGTTGTTGTCACTATCGCACTGCATAACCAATCTGATTTGACTTGACTGTAAATCGTAGACATTAGAATGGGATTGGACTGTAGGTAACTAGCAAAGTCTGAATATGTGGAGATTATGTGACTAGAGTGATTTGGAATGAAAGCTTGACAACGTTGTTATCCATAAATGCGTTTTCTACTTTGTTGTACGTGTTGGGCGTTTTGATGGGGTCGTCATTGAAAATCTAACGTCGGTTGGACAGTTTGGGTTGGTGGGACATGTTTTCCAATCCCTTGGCCATGGTGTGAGTTATAATTATTTGCGAATATTTTCATGGATATGTTATTGTATACATGACACTTTGTATGCACACTTCTTTCATTTTCTTGACAAATGTGTCAGAGATAAGAATGTAATCATCTGTAAACAGGAGCACAACTAGATAAGACAGGAATTTACTGAATACCCGGGTAACAAGGACTTTCTATCTTATGAAAACAACATTAGACTAACATGCAATTTAACATTATGACAATTTTTTTTATGATTAAACACAATCAAAAACTGATTTAATACAACCTACAGTTTTAGGTGACAGTCCGTTATGTCCTAAAATTGCCCATACTTTAGATCGATTTACGAAATCAAAAGCCTTTGAAAAATCATCAAATAGAGCAGACACGTTCTTTTGACTCCAAAGGCGACCTACAAGTGACTAAAGGATAATTACATTATCAAGCGAAGAATCTACCAGGTGGAAGCCAGAGTGAGATGTTTTAATACACATCACACCAAAACTATTAGTCAAGTCTGAAATTTATACTTTTCTAAAAATGCTGAGGACTGTAATACCTCTATAATTATAATGTGCAGTTTATATAAGTCCCTTTTGTGAAGTGATACTTTCAAACATTAAAATCTGCATTAAGTAAGGGAGTAAGAAAACAGAAATAAAATATTATAAGAACATTTTAAACCATCAGCTATAATCCTATGATGCCCGGCTTATTTTCCTCTATCTCGTGTAATTTGTAATTGAGTGTGTAAAAGTACACACATACATATCTGGGATGGCTTCTAACGGGATATCTATGTTATCAGTAATGTCAATATCATCAATTATTTTTGAACTATGAATACCTTTACGGTAGCTATAATGAGATACTGGGTTTAGCAGAAAGGGGAACAACCGAGAAACTCGTAAACGAAAAGATCTTACTGCTTATTTATATTATTCAACAGTGTATTTCTAATCTTGTCCATATGCATACGCTTCTTACTGTGTACAAGAGATGAAAAAATTCCGTTCATTTGCATATCTCTCAAATATCACATTTCCACAATCTACACAATCTAAGCAACGTGTCAAGTTTTTCACATCTATAGTACTCGCATGCCTTATCAACTGAAACATCGTTTATGGTCCCTCTTCACTTTATCCTCAACAACAGTGCAGCCATTTAATAGAATATTTTCACAAACAAACAGCATTGTTACTAAGCGAAAAGAAGGAATGCACTAACTAGGTATCGATCTATTCTAGGTTGACGTTTTCACTTTTGACTTTACAGTCTATTGCACTTCAACATGTATGCAGTGAGTAAAGATAATTATAACCCCGAAAATAAAACAAATACACTCTTGAAACAAGTTCAAACTTTTAAGGTATCTCATGAAACAGTAGTACCCAAATTGTGGATCAAGTACACTTTTTAATTAACACAGATCCACAGATTTTTAATTAACTTAGTTGTTTTAACACAACGTTTCTATTCTAAATTCCCGTATTTGGACGAAACGATGACTCCGTTTATAACACTTGTTGTCTACATATTTTCATTGAGGTCTTGTCTTTTTTCTACAACAACAGTTTGACCTCTGCATCGGTCAGGCTTGTTATCACCTATGAACAACCTGTAGAATCTATGGCTAGACAGTGAACAAGTACTTGAACCACTATCCAAGTACTCCTACGCTATGTCTATCACTTCAGAAGTTTCACCTTCAAGTTTTGATATTTAAGCATCAACCTTGCTCATATTCTCTATAACATGAGCATCTGTGTAAGCCTGTGTCAGTTTTACCATAATATCCATGACTTTCACCTGAGGGGAACTCATTTCATCAATGCCTTCCCAAACTGCTTTTCGTGTTCGCATATCTTGTTCAACTTGAATATTCAGCTTATTTTTCCCTTTGTAAACGCAAATTTAGCTTTTGCTTTCTGTCGTTTAAGGTTACGAGTAAACTGTTCTAATTCTTCATCTCCTTAATTTGAAGGTCCCCTTTTATTACTTCTTTTCTGTGAAGTGATTGACAATTCTTTAACTTCATCTGAAGTTTCTATCTTATCGGTTCCACATTACTTGAGTAACAACAACTACTACAATAATAAATTTCAACTAAAGTTCATGTTGATACTCAAATCATCTGTTTCCAAGTCTAATGTAGTTGATAAGCAATTGAATCTATTTTGCATTAAACAACCACGATCTGCTATCATTAATTATTGGATGAAATGCATACACATCGGCCCCATACGCCTCATGTGATGCGTCCATAAATGTATCAATGCATGTTCTGGGCATGAAATATGGGCTGGAAATATCACTCGCTATTATCAAATTCGTTCACATTTGGATCTGGAAGGAGTAACGCATCTATTCCAAGACCATGTATAATTAACTTTAACTTACTGCTGTTTCAGCTAATCATCTAACCGTACATTAGATTATGCGGGGTATATATCAAGACATGTTTATCTAATAAAACTATTACATGAGCATGTCATATAATGTCATAATCAAACAACCATACACTATTGTAGACTGCTTTAAACATGCACACTATGACAGGTCCTGTCCTTTTGAGGATAATATATTTCTGGTGTTTATATATCTGAAAAAGAACATTTTAAGGTCTCGCGTAAATAACAGTTTTCTGTTAAAATTACCAAATTGGTGGTATAAAAATTTTAATCGCTTTTTGTTTGTTTGCTTGGGTGTTGTTTAACTCAGATATATGACGGCGGCCTGTAAATAATGGAGTCTGGATCAAACAAGGATAGTCGCCTTTCACGGCTTGCTGAAGACCTATATCCTACCCGAGATCTTCACGGTTATTCTAGGTTCGTTCTTCTATGAATTCACATAAAATGAAATTCAAGTTTAATGTTAAAGCAATACATGTAAAACACAGGTGTTGAACCTCCTTACCTTATTATTTGAATATTTGACTTCATGTACAGTATTAACATTTGTCAAAGATCACGTGGGTTTTCCCACTACTGTGACTCCCCTTCACTACTCACAGATGATATCATTGAACTGAGCGACTTCCAGACTGTTCTACCAGGATTCACATCAAGTTAGTAGTTTATGATGTACATGTACATAGGTAATGTCTTATAGACTTTGTATAAGTTAAAAGGGACATAGTGTGGCGACTTGTGTGGTAAATGTAAAGTATTTGACCTGTATAATTAATTTTACTTCCTGTTCCTCCATTTTGTTCAATCGCTACCACCCACTTGATCTCACCATTTTCAACTTTTGCTAGCTATTTGTCGGAAGGCATGTATACAGAATATTACAAAATGTATACATCCATTGCCCTCATGTCGAAGAAAGACCTTGGCCCACGAACGAGAATATACAATTCGAAGTATGTACACTCGAAATGTAGTAGTTATTCTAAAACGATACCAAGACATAAAAAAGGAGAATATACTCATAAATATATAAATGTAACCAAAATTTCAGTTTATACATCAAAGTGCATCAAAACATTGCAGGAACAGTAACTTCAGAGACATTTTAGAGCATACCTTGATAGAGTAACACGCCGCTTTTGTATATTTTTGCAATACACGTACTTTGGGTGAGGACACAGTCGACCTTTTTTAGTGCATTCTGTCTTTCAAATACCCCGTCGCAAATAGCCTTGGTACGATATTGCCTTACTGCTCCTGTATTCTACACAACTCAATCACTGCATGTTATCAGTTATCGTGCCTGACACCGATGTCTGCTCAAGCGAAACCAGGTAGAACGACAGGGTAAATGAAAGACCTTTCCCGGGAAAACCACCACACCAAGAAATGTGACAATAGCGCACATTTGTGGGACGAATGAAGTAGGCAGCATAGCGCTTTTGTTCTCGGTAACAACTTCCTTATAATATTACACGTACATGTTGCACTGAGCCATATATGGCGGGGACATGTGCGTAGCTTTAGGTTTCCGTCGTACAAAATAAAATCAGTTATGAATTGGAGAAGACATAATAACACCAACACAAATACATGAATACATGCACATTATTAATTACAATAACGAATATCTTAACTCTGTACAGGATGACCTTGCAAGAATGGGTGTTCATTGGGGCTAAAACCAGAACGCTACTCATGCAAACATTTAGCATGAAACCCAGATGTGGATAGTTTATTTAAAATATCCCTCTACCTTAAAGAGAAAATGAACTATTGACGTCAGTATAAACATGTGCTGTGCAAATGAGTCATCACGTGTAAACCGAATATAGAGGGTAATGTCCACAATTTAGTCATATGACTTAACTTGAAAGACACCCTTGTGCATATAAACGCCTTTCGGGGTATCGGGGTTGTAACCATGCATATATCGTATAATTAACGTTAATATATTAATCTTTAGATGCTAGTGTGTACATTATGCATCAATCCGAACAATTGTGCGCATTGTATATACTCAGTATTCTGTAGTTCGACACAACAAACTGAGTATTATATATGACCTAAATACTAATTCGATAATCAAGAAATCAGAACTATTCTCAAAGGTTGTGATGTCGAGTAGAATAACAGGGACCAATCATTAGGTTTACACACATATGCATAGTATCGGTACAGGGACGGGTTAACGGGATCAGACACATGCTGTGTAGGATGACAGAGACCAGTTACTATGTCCACGCCCAGATGGCAAGTAGAATGACAGTGCCAAGTTACTAGGTCTACATACATGTGTAGATTAGGATTGCTGGGTCTGATCACTAGGTCTACACATATTTACAGTGGGAAAGTATAGACCAAAGACTGCACGCACATGTAAAGTAGAAAGGCAAGGGCAGTTCTATGGGGCAGATGTAGTACAGCAGGGATCAATCATTGTGTCTACAAACAGACGTAGAGTAAGGTTATTGGTACCGGTAACTCAGTCTTCACACAGATGTGCAGTAGGATCGCAGGGGCCAGTCACTGGGTGGACACACAGATGTAGAGTAGTAGCAGGGTCTGTTCACAGGGTCGACACACAGATGTAGAGTAGTAGCAGGGTCTGTTCACTGGGTGGACACACAGATGTAGAGTAGTAGCAGGGTCTGTTCACAGGGTCCACACACAGATGTAAAGTAGTAGCAGGGTCTGTTCACTGGGTGGACACACAGATGTAGAGTAGTAGCAGGGTCTGTTCACAGGGTCCACACACAGATGTAGAGTAGTAGCAGGGTCTGTTCACTGGGTGGACACACAGATGTAGAGTAGTAGCAGGGTCTGTTCACAGGGTCCACACACAGATGTAGAGTAGTAGCAGGGTCTGTTCACAGGGTCCACACACAGATGTAGAGTAGTAGCAGGGTCTGTTCACAGGGTCCACACACAGATGTAGAGTAGTAGCAGGGTCTGTTCACTGGGTGGACACACAGATGTAGAGTAGTAGCAGGGTCTGTTCACAGGGTCCACACACAGATGTAGAGTAGTAGCAGGGTCTGTTCACTGGGTGGACACACAGATGTAGAGTAGTAGCAGGGTCTGTTCACAGGGTCCACACACAGATGTAGAGTAGTAGCAGGGTCTGTTCACTGGGTGGACACACAGATGTAGAGTAGTAGCAGGGTCTGTTCACAGGGTCAACACACAGATGTAGAGTAGTAGCAGGGTCTGTTCACAGGGTCCACACACAGATGTAGAGTAGTAGCAGGGTCTGTTTACAGGGTCCACACACAGATGTAGAGTAGTAGCAGGGTCTGTTCACAGGGTCCACACACAGATGTAGGGTAGTAGCAGGGTCTGTTCACAGGGTCCACACACAGATGTAGAGTAGTAGCAGGGTCTGTTCACTGGGTGGACACACAGATGTAGAGTAGTAGCAGGGTCTGTTTACAGGGTCGACACACAAATGTGCGACAGAAGGTGTTACTGTTCAACACACAGATAAAGCTTGGGAACGAGTCACTGGATCTATGCACAAATGTACAGTGTATCTATACGGACTTGTCAAAGGGTCTACATAGAGATATTTAGTAGGATAAGAGGAATGAATCAATCACACAGAGTACACACACAGGTATAGAGTAGGATGGCAGGGACTAGTCACTGGATCTTCACAGAGACGTACTGTAGGACTGTTTGTACTGGTCTCTGAGTCCAAACATAAATGTAAGTTAGCAGGGCCTGGTCACTGAGTTCACGGGAGGGATAAAAGGTCTGGAGTTCCCGGATTTTAATGAGGTTGTAAACCTGCATCTAAGAGATAAAAGCGAGTTCCCTGACGTGCCTATTGTGTACCATTTTGTGATACTGTTATGCATTGTCTCGCCATGATGCTTTGGTTATCACAAAAAATGTCAACTAATTCTGTCAACTAACTGAGCAATACATACGTTTGGGTACATTAACCATCGCCGTGATACATCTTTGACTGCGGCAACACAGTGAACTGTTCTTGAACACTCTTCTCACAGTCTCTCATTTTCTTCTCACATTTTCTTCCAGACAAGGATATATTTGCGTTCCCTTTTTTATATAGTGTTGTTGTATTTCCTCCACTACCAAGAGACAGCAGTCTTTTATCTTTGGTTAGGTAAAATGTATTTGTAACACATTACATAATAGGTCAGTGTGAGTCAAGGTATTTTCCGTGTATGATGTCTTGGTCTGTCGTTTCAGACGTGAACTTTACAGTCATCTGTACGCTGTGGTGAATAATGAGTGGCCAGGGAAAAAGGAAGTCTACAGAAAAGTCAGAGGGCGGATCTAAAGGTAGTTCATTTATATACTCTCCAAAAATAACCGATTGCATTACAATGGATATTGTTCCTTTCACAAAAATGGCTTCAAAATTGTTACTTATGACATGGATCATCTACATATATATATGTGAGTATTTTGATATAGGGAATGGTGTCATTTGGTTTTGAAATTTTCACTTGCGTGCGTTGTTCACAAATTATTCTAACACATGTCGCCCAAACGCCATCTTGAACGCTTCACACCTGCAAATCACGGCAAACGTGCAGGCCCTACTTGGCTATAAAAAGAGAACATGTCAACAAATTTGTTATATGGTTTTACAATTTTGAACGAACTTAACTAAGACACGACATGACTCTGCAACACACTATATCGCCATAGTCCGACTTCAAGCGGGAGAGTTTCAGATAACAGTTGCCCATCGTCTTAATGCCAACCAGAGTACAATTTCACGTCTCGTTGTACCAAGTCAACATTCTGGGTCAACCAATGGCCTAACACGAGTCGGTACTTCCACGTGCTTTATTTACGTGATCGGAGTGACAGTGCTGAACACAAAACTACCAACGTGCCAGGACTACGAAGGATATCCGCACAGATTCATCTTCGCCAGGTTGAATTGGGAGCCAGGTGACCTTACTTTGGCTACGTCTTACTTCATTGGTTCTAACATTGAAGTTGACCTTGGATGGGCTGTAAACATTGTTTAAAGATAGTCATCTGCACCCAGAGTTGTGGTATTTTCTTCGGACGTTGTGCTGGATGGATAACAGCAACGGGTGTTCGAATCCATACAGTCCATACTGTGATGGATAACGACAGTCATATATGTGATAACTTCCAATTAGAAGTAACAGGTGGTGTTATCAGCTGCTACTGGTGATGCCTCATGTCTGCTTCTGTGGACATATGTAATGACAATGTTATTCGACACCATTCGAAGCTGGTGGTGAAACCAAGTTGAGCCTTACATAGTTGGTCATTGGTACCTTCGACTCAAAATTATGCCATAGAACAACTTTATAAACCAAGCTCAAACTTGCCTTGTCATTTGCAGTTATGTAATGCCTCACTGTTTGAAATGTGACAAGCCGAGGGATTGCTAAGAAGGTCTTAGAATGGACACACATGTCATATTTTTTTCATTAGTCATGTTTGATCATCAGTTAAATGTGTAGACCTAAAATGTGTTCTAATGTCTTGTATAAGAGTGAGGCTCGATCTTGAACGTTTATTACGATGTCACTACGATCAAGGCAGTTTTTGACGGACGTGTTATTGCGAGGCTTGTGACAAAATATTTTGCAAGGCTCAAGATCATCCCTAAACAAGAAAGCTTCATTATAACTGGTATCAAGGTCCAGGATCTTGGGATATATTGTTTGTTTGTGCGTGTGTTGTTTAACACCGCACATGGCTGTATAGAGGATGTATGACGGCCATCTGTAAATAATCGAGCCTGGACTAGACGGTGCAGTAATTGAAGTCTTGCATGTGAGCATCGATCCATGCAATTTTGATGCATTAAACATGCAGTCAACCAAGTCACTCAGCCTGATCAGCCGATTTTTTAAGTCGACAAGCAGAGGTTGCTGGGAACCTGACTGTATTCTCACCCGTAATCACCACGGGTTGTGCATATGTTGTGAATCGTGAATAGGACTCTCCTGCCAAGGTTGGTTCCCAAATCCTCAATGTTTTATAGCAAAGGTACCACCATTTACACCAGTCCTCTATGCTGTACCCCAAACGACATGAGAAAAAGCGGAACCATGGGCAACCTTATCTGCGGCATGAGTCAATACTGCAACAAAGGTATAGTTAAAACCACTAATCGAAGGTGATGAAGAAAATAACAACGCATCAACGTAAAGATGTTATTGTTATTGACTTGAGTGCACACGATGTAGAAGACTTCTGACCGTTGCCTGAAAAGAATGCACATGATGCATTATTCCCTCTACTAGTACATTTTGAATCCATTTGCCTTGCTGCTGATGCTGTTGTTGTCCAGCATTCCAATCAATCTGTAGCTTATTCGGCATGTCGAATCCGGTCACGTGACGTAGCACCATCATGTACTGGTCTGGCATTTTTCTGCAAGATGATATGTGGAAAACATTTCCAAATTTGACACAGTAATAAAAAATTTGTCCGACGCAATTCCCTATTTTGACTTGAATCAATCGTTCCCGTGTTTTTTTCTGGAGAACAATGGGCTTGCCTTAGCATGTGTCTGTGATTGGTGCCATGGGGTGGCAGGGTGTGCTCACCATTTCGCGAACAACAGGAAAGATTGCTCGTTGATAGTGATTCAGAACGACATTCTCATGATCAAGTGGTTGGTTGGTTGGATGGTCTGTTGTTTAACGCCGTACTCAGCAATATTCAAGGCATATGATGGCGGTCTGTAAATAATCGAGTCTGGACCAGACAATCCAGTGATTGATGTCATGAGCGTCAATCCACACAATAGGGATACGATGATATGCATCAACCAATTCAGCGAGCCTGACCACCCGATCCCGTTAGTCGCCTTTTACGACAAGCATAGTCACCTTTTACGGCAAGCATGGGTTGCTGAAGACCTATTCTACCCCGGATCTTCACGGGTCCATGATCTAGTGGGAATCGTGCAAATAATATCTTACGTGTATGGAAAGGGTTATTTATGGAACTTCAATGCTACTATACCACATTCACTCTGGAATGTATGACTAATTGAACCATGTATCATAAGCTCTTTTTCGTGGTTGTGTTGCATGATCAAATCTTATGTTTCAGCAGCAGCATTTAGTATCAAAAGAACAGCAATGAGCGGAAGTGCAAGGGCTTTCAACTCCAAAGTGTCCGCTGTGGAAGGAGGCAGTACTAATTTACGTGGAGGTAAGTTAAGTTGGTTAGTTAATTGTACCTGCTAGTATGAGTGTAGTAGAGAATCAATGTGAACATTTGAAGTGATTGCACTTTGTACACGATCGACGCGTAGTCCGTCAGCCATCATTTTGGCACCCGTTTTTTTCACAACTATTTTCTATTAAGCTGTCAACCAAAGATTGGCCGAAGTGAGCTGGCATTACCGGCAGCTTCTCGGAAACCTGTCGTAGGCGTCATTTGGTCATCCAAGACATGTTCTAATGGGGAGATGTCTGGCCAACTAAACGTATATTCTGAAGTATGAACCGATTTATTCATATCGTAGATTCTGACGCTTCAAACATGCAAGTATGTAAACATGTATGTACTCGCCATGTATGATTATGACCACAGGCAATTCTAAATGGAAATGGGTTTAACGCCTGTTTAAACAGTATTGGAGTAATACCACATAATGTCAGCACAAACTACTGCAGTTTTTAGAGGGTTACCGAGTTACGAGCACGTGCATGATGCTGACAAATCACTGATAACAGTAAAGACGAAGCCGGAATTGGAAACAAGGCTCTTATCATTATCGGATCCAGAACACTGCTAATATTATTAACACTGCACATCAAAATGCGCCTACTTAGATCACTTGACCACCTGTCTCATCATTTGTAGACGTAGATGTAAAGATCATTGAGGAAGGCATGACTGGCGATGCAGTGGCTGAGAACTGCAACATACAGGCGGCCAAGGACCACAGAACATTCATAGGAGGAGGTTTGATTTGTTTCATATCTTGTATGTGTTTCACACATTGGTCCCTCTAAAACCAAACTTCAACCTAATTATCTCACTTAATCTGCATTCATCTTATGCGTCACAATGTAGCTATATTTCAGTCATGAAATTATAATATTTATTTAGATAATCAGTATGGAGTATCATTAATCCATGTAAAAAATTATAATAAGGATTGGTCATATTGTTAAGTATACGGTGCTCTTAGTTAATGGCATAAGTGGGATTCGGGCCAACGGGTATATCACATATGACGAGAGTGATAAGGTTTGGAAATATCATCAGAACTGTCAGAAACAGGGCATTTCTAACCAGGTACCATCTCGGAATCAACCTCACAGAGCGGCAGATAAGGCATTGGGGTGGGAAAGACTAGATGGGTAGAATAGTCGATTAAAGGTTACCGACCAATGGTAAATCAGAATGTTGAAAGTTTTAACGAAGAGCGCACCTCAAGGTAGCCAGCCTGGTGCGCGCCTGCTCTCGTCTTGTCAAGTGACCAAATCTAAGGCCCTAGCATTTCGACTGAGACTGAAGCTTTGAGCCCGAAGTCTTTTACTTAAGTGACAAATAGAGTGGGTTGGACCAGCAGTACAAACAGTGAATCAAAACTGTTAATTAAGAACGTCCTCTTGTGATTTGGGGAACCTGTGGTAAATGTCCAGGGGCTTTGAGTACTGACACTGTAGCTCTCGCACATCCCAAATCGCTAGGATCGAAGAATGAAGAGTTTAGGTGGGGGTTTCTCAATCCAGATATTGGCTACGACTAAGTCGGAACGCAAACGACCTTCTAATTACCGTGAATGAACTTCTTAAAAGACCTTGGACAGATAAACTGGCAATGTAAACTCATAAATATACTGATGGGTTTATCTTATGGTATGTTAAAACACTGAAAGTATCTATATTTCAAAACATTTAATTTCATAAAGAAATATATGTTTGACATTGTTTGGCAAGTAATTGTTGTATAAAGATCTCAAGAGGCTAACCTTTAGATATCCTAATGATTACGAAGCCTTCTGTACAGTGATGTGTAAGAAATACAGACTTTCTATGGAAAATAAAGATAATTGAGATGATTATGCTTCTTAGTTCCAGTTGGAGATCTAGACCTCAGTGAATCTGACCAAGGTATGTATGTCATGTAATCTCTTTTCGTATCATATTCACTTTACTGAAGTGAGAACTATAATCGCAAGGTTATTTAACAATAATTCAGAATTGTTGTAACACTTTCAAACCACATCTGATATGGAGGTTAGCCCAGTGATCTACATCTCCTCGAGGCAAGAGTGTCTATTAGCCTGTATCAAAATCCAGAAACCACACATTCTTGTGTCGGGAAGATGAGTGATCTAACGCTCTGCAGTTCTCCCTGCTGCCGACTTGCGTGTATGAGTCTTGCTTGCATCTGCTCATCGTGATGTCGTGTCCAAGAATCGCCTGAATACTCCCTGATGACATACGAATAAAACAGGCCAAAGAAAGCATTCACGTGAAATTTGGATCGGATCAAAACACTACAAACGCCATCAAAACGTTTCTAGGCCGTCAACATTGCCAACTTAAGGCCCAAAATTATGATACCCGTATCAAATACATCCCCATTAAATAAAACTATTCTTGTTTTGTTCCATTTTTAGCCACAATCAAATATCGGTGTTTAGTTTATATATGCATACTAAATTGGGGGCGATTATAGATAAATTTCGCATCTTGTGAAACTAATGACACATTTTATTCATCTATGCACACACACAACGTGTTAACAGTATTATGACATTACAGTATATACATTCTTCATAATTGTGTAAATCAACTAATGAATGAGTGAATGAATCAATGAATGAAAAGTTGTGCACGAAAAAGTTATGAAAACTGTCGTGGTAATCAAATTATTATTTCATGATCAATCTCAACGCGGGCACATTTTGTGCTTGCACATGTGCACTGTGAGCAAGCTGAGCAGCCATCGTTACGGATTTCGAATTTGTGCAAACTCGTGGTCACAACCCAACTTATATTCAGTCCTTGCAACTATCTTGAATACATTCAATATACTGCAACCCCTAAAATCCTTTTGAATGCTCATGTTGTTTTGTTCTCAATGTTAACGCAGTAAATGTGTACAGTGATACAACACATGGTCACATCTGTGAAGCATTCACACGTAGGTTTAACAAGATACTGCACTTTAAAACCTACTTGTAATTTAGTTTGAAAACACGTTCTTTAATATTTTATTAAATTAGTGGCGAATAAATGTTATTATATGTTAATTGTGCGTCCATTCATGTGATGAACATGAAAAATATTCCGCTGAAGTTAAAAACAAAGAATTCATCAGGTTGGAACATTTTTTTCTTTTTCAGCTGAAGCAAAGGAATGCGATCTCACATTTGGTATGTTACAAGTTTGGTTTTAGAGCACAGAAACTTTTATGATTAGGAAAAACAATTATTATACTTTCTATCGCCAGGTAATATAATGTACAAGCCTTATATTCCCCACTATCGTATAATAAAATTATTTTCATTTCGCAAGTTGATGATTGTTCGTACTAATATCATAAAGTTATTAATTATGTATCGTTAACAAAATTACTTCAATCTATAATATACCTGTTTATGACTTTGCATTGTGCATTACATCTTGTTGTCAGGTAAGGACACCTTTGTGCTGCTGGTATCGGGGGCTGGAGATGGATATGAAACATTCAAGAAAGATGTTCAGTTTATGGAGGCCCTATTCATGTCTCCTTATTTTGAAATCAGGTATTTTAAGAGATGTTCCACTCTAGTAATTCTTTAAATTAGGCATTTGATTTCGTTTCATAATCAAAGAGTTATATTTAACACGTCCCATTTTAATTCTGGAAACCCAAAAGTCCAGAAACTCTACGCTCTTTGCCCAGTCTCGGTTAAAGGTATTTACAAAATTAAACATGCCGTTTTCATTGGAACATACCAAGGAAGAAAACATGAAAAAAAAATTGTTTAAAAACTCAATATTTAGACTATGTCGCCCATGGGCCTGCCCATGGGCGAAGTGTGGCCCATGGGCCTGCCCATGGGCGAAGTCTGGCCCATGGGTAGGCCCATGGGCAGGCCCATGGGCGTGAATATTTTCCTCTACTTAAAACTCATGTTTTTGTTTCGCAAATACATTTAATGTATTCATTCAAGTATCATGACACAAAATTTAACTCATTTTAACTTAATTCAACGATTTTATAGCGATATTGAAATATTTCGCCCATGGGCGAGAAAAAGGTTTGGCCCATGGGCAGGCCCATGGGTAGGCCCATGGGCAGGCCCATGGGCGAGAATATGTTCCTTTACTTAAAACTCATGTTTTTGTTTCGCAAATACATTTAATGTATTCATTCAAGTATCATGACACAAAATTAAACTCATTTTAACTTAATTCAGCGATTTTATAGCGATATTGAAATATTTCGCCCATGGGCGAGAAAAAAGGTTTGGCCCATGGGCAGGCCAATGGGCGAGAACATGTTTCTTTACTCAAAACTCAACTATTTTACGGCGTTATTAAAATATTTCGCCCATGTTTTCGTCAGTTCCTTTCAAGCATCAACTAACTGTTTGCAAAGTATATTGTATCATGTGAAACATACTTTATATTATATCATTATATTACTATTTAAAAAGGGCTTTTGGTTGGATGTTTCCTTTAGTTCTACAAATTTCACCTGTTTTACATATTGTAGCGATCTTTAATGAACCCGGCCTTACCTCTCAAAACGTTTTGACAGTTTATCATACGAATTCATGTGCGTGTACTCAAATTCATTGGAGTTATTTTCCACAACATTAAATTTTAGTTAGTTTCTATTTCATTTCCCATTTTATGTCCCGTTGATACATCACACTGGGCAATTACGTGACACTAGGTATGCAATATACAGGTACGCGTGCGCGTATTTTAATGAAAAAAACTATTCGTCTTTTATTGCATAACGTTTGGCTGAATATCTTACATTCTAACGAAATCTCGAAATAATTATTTAATTACAAGCAGTGTCGAACTGACCAGTAGGAATTATGTTTCAATGCGATTGAGGAAAACGTGAGTGAATATTGTGACACTAAAGCAACTTTTAACTGCATTGTCACTTTTGGTATGAAAATGGTAATAGTTAAGAAAAACGTAACAGCCTTCTTATGATAATTCTCATATTCTCATTAGTACGTTGTGTCTAATTACAGTGTCGGCCTTATTTACAGGTGATTCTACAGTACTTGTTGTCGGTCAATTACAATCTGCCACACCACGCGTGAATAAACAGTTATGCAGGTGTTGCTGTGGGCAAATACCTAGCCTGTACATGTATATTTTTGTGGATACATGTATTACATATTTTCGTTCATATGTGGATATATTAAGCACCAAGACACAAAAAGTTTATGAAAGATGAATTTGTGCCTTGATATATATATTCAACGCGAACGAAGCTTGTATTTTCTCCGCGATCCTGATGTGTAGCATCGTTTAATTGGTCATTCATTAAAAGTATGTTGTGAGGCGATATCAAAGGAGCCGCTCAATATACACAGTGTCGTCCGTTTCGCGTGAACTACCACCCTACCCTGTCAGTAAGAGTTATGTAATCGGTACACAAATATATTTGGTGCAATGTCAGTGTGGAAGGAGTTTGAATTACGTCCGCCAGGCCAGTGGCCACAGAAAGTATAGTACCAATCAACAAGGCCAATGCCGTACTAATAACCTAGTGACTCGCGTAACAACGGCTGTCAATATGTCTGCTACATCTACCATACCATCATCCCTGTCACAACTGGCGTATTAACGGCTTATTCAAAATATTAATTGTAGAAATGTCGTTACCAGACTAACGTACGTCGTATTCAGTCCTCAACTGGATGTTACATTCCTTATATCAGTTAACAGCCCTGTTTGTGAAAATATTTACTAGACATAAGATTTAATGACTAATAAAATCAATTGTAAGACCGCATAGACCATAAAACCGAATAAAATATGTCTTGGTATCATCTCTTGTGTATTAGATGATGGCAATGACCGGAAATGTTATAACGTTAGATTAAGAAGGAGAAACATTAAAGTGTTTTAGAATACTTGGAAACATGAGCAATAAGATGTAGCAACATAAACATGCATGGAATAGGGGAAAAGGATGAAAACAAATTGAAAAGGATTTTAATACAAAATTATCGAACTAAATAACTTGCCTGAACAGAAGGGGTACCCAAACTTGTTTGACAGTTATTCGTGTGTTGTAGACTGTCGAATTGGATTCATGTGTGTACGTAGGGTAGGCATATCTATTGCAAGTTTTAGTACTCATACACTTTCTCTTTTTGTGTTTTGTTTGTTTGTTGTATAACGCCACATTTAGCAATATTTCAGCTGTATGACGGCGGTCTGTAAATAATCGAGTCTGGACCAGACAATCCAGTGATTGACATCATGTGCATCGATCCACGTAATTTGGATACGATGACATGCATCAACCAAGTCAGCGAGCCTGACCACCCGATCCCTGTAGTCGCTTCTTACGACAAGCGCTGTCGCCCTTTTACGCCAAGAATGGTTTGTTGAAGATCTTCACGGGTCAATTGAATGCAGGGATTTGTGTAAAGTCATTCAGACAGCATACAATGCCAACTAAAAAATTATACTCAGTGTCTCCGCAAAGTAATATAGTACGGTACTTAGAGTACATGTGAGATTATACTCAGATTAGGGAGATGTTTAATCCATATAACGTGTTATTATTCTACCTAACAATGTATTTAATGAAATGAATGCAAAACAAACACAAAAGGTTTTATTGAAAAAACTACCCCTAGTCTTGACTTATAAAACAACTGCAACCCGACACAGATTAAACGCAACTTACAAACACAATCATAATCTAGTTAGTTAATCACTCAACGAGGCCGCTGACTCTGCCCACAGTATGACTGTATTGGGCAGTTCAGTAATTAGGAGCCAAATCCAGGCAGGTACGCTGGTCACACTTGACTGGTCTGACTGATGATTAGGTCGTCTGACAATTGGGAGTGAACCATAGCAAAAAGTATCTGCGAAACTATTTGCTCCTTTTGTAGGACCGATTAGTTTTATTACCATGGGCCTCGGCACAAGCGTGGTGTTGGAAGATAAGTTATACATGTACATCCGATATGGTGACTGTTTTTCGCTATTCATATTCTAAATACATTCATAATACCACAACATTTTAGTACTCCTTGAAACTTTACAATCACTTCAATATGTACAATAGATTGAACGAGAACACTTGATATATTGCAGATTATTAAATCATTGTCTCTATTATCAGCCGCTACGTTTGTATCGTTTGCATTGTACAATGAAATATTTTATCTGTCCTTTTGCAGATTTAGCCTCAGAATGTGCTCATTCGAATTAGGAACGAAAATAATTGCTTATCATGAGTATATATGATACAGTTAAAAGTTACTTGTACACTGTAGACGTATTCACTTTAAAGTCGCATACGACCTTCGCGAGCGAGTTGAATGATCCAGGTTAATTGGAACGAAGTCTAGAAAGGGTTATAAAGTTTTGTATTTGGTAATGTGTAGGTTTGTTAAATATAATTTTTTAAATTCCTTTTATTTCAATATGTAAAAACATAACTATGCGCTTAAAAACAGAGCTGACTTGATGGGAGATAGCCACCTCAGATTGTCTGTTGGACACAGTTTAACCTTACTGTGTCCTCACCCTGGTTGTTGTTACCGTTGTTATAAGGGATCAAGAGCTACGGCTCATTGCATTTTTGGTTACAGTCTGTATCACTAAAGTGGACATGTGCAGGTGAACTCTGTTCAATTAGTATATGAAATGCCCCAAAATGTGAACTCCAGACAATAATAACCTGAGGGTAAATCCACGTGCGTCTGCCTTTCCCCTCGTTCACCTTCGAAATCCTTGATTATTATATCATGCCAGAGTTCTGAAATTCAGTGACAATGTTGCTGAACAGTAGAATCTGATGGACGTTTTGTGCAGAACCTGTTTGACACTATGGGTTCCAGGACCACTAACACTCTGAGCTGAAAAAGTTTGGTCCTAACCGCACCCAACATCTACAAGTTTGTAAGCTTGTAGACATCATTAAGAAGTAATTAACACTCCCATGCTGAGACCTTTCTCAAAATTCAGACCGGTGGCAGGCTGCCAACAAAGAGAAGAAAATATCGCAGACCCGACACGAGTGTGCTCAGTCAAACAATGAACTTACGACCGGCAGAAAACAACTCCAGTTGAGTATGCCGATGCTGTATCTCAGCCGTGTTGGCCTGAAAATTTAAACATGCTAATTAAATCCAAAATCGTATAAATATTTTTAATAGAAACCGTATCTTAATTTGTTCTCGCACTGCATCATATCGTGTATTTCATCTGTATATGTGTAATGTGTATATGTATCAATGACTACACTTATACCGCATATTCTGCAACAGACTATAATTAATCACCTTATTATTGTCTCTCCATTTACCATGGCTGACTGCACTAATACCCTTTTAACAGTGGACACCGATATCAGTATACATGTAGGCTTTTTGTTCAAAAAGGAATATGCAGGAAATTATATGTAACAATTAACTGTGTACTAATTACATGTTTGAATGTTATCAGTTTTACGTTCTGAGATACAGTGATGTAAGCATATTCTAAAATCTTCTACAAATATAATAAAATACAAAACTCTCTGCCGTAATTTTTTGTGGAAATCATTCGATCAAGTAAAAATGACTGCGTGACAAGACGAATCAACTATTTATACCCGATAAAAGAAACTGCCGTATTTTAGGAACAGTGCTATAACAAGACATTTGAAATTTCTAACAAGCAGATACATTAGATACAGTGACTAGACTACAGGTACGTAATCCGTATCAATCAAAGGTGTAAAAAAACTGAAAATCATATCTGTCGGAGACCTACCAAATTACCAAGTTTTATCATTACTATATTTATTACAATGCAAATACTTTAGTGATACATTTTTTAGAGGAGAGGGCATACACACAAGTATATTGCTTCCGTGTGTGAATGCAGGTTGTACTTGGTATCTAAGTTCTCAGTTTCATACCGGTTGTATAACTGAATTTGTATATGGAACCATGCGTACAGCATGACAATTACTTGCTATTCGTCAGTTTACAACACACATAACACGGTCAAACAATTTTAGGCACCGCTTTTGCGAGTTATTTAGTACAATAATGTTTTATTAAAATCTATTTCAATTTGTTTTCACCATTTTCCCAATTGACAGTCGTTGTTGCGTGCGTCACTAGGTAATTAGTACGGATTGACCTTGTTTATTGTTTCTATACTTTGAGGATTTCTGTGGCAAGTGGCGGACGTAATTCAAACTCCTTCCGCACTGACACCGCATCAAATATATTTGTGTACCGATTACATAACTCTAATGGACAGGATGGGGTGGTAGTTCACCGGACGACACTGTGTATATTGGGCGGCTCCTTTGATATCTCCTCACAACATACGTTTATTGAATGACCCCATTAAACGATGATACACATCTCGATGAATATATCAAGGCACTAATTCATCTTTCATAAACATTTTTTTGTCTTTGTGCTTAATATATCCACATATCAACGAACATTTGTAAAACATGTATCCTAAAAAAAATAAACATTTTCAGGCTAGGTATTTGCCCACAGCAACACCTGCATAACTGTTTATTCACGCGTGGTGTGGTAGATCGTAATTGACCGAGAGCAGGTATTGTAGAATCACCTGTAAATAAGGCCGACGTACTAATGAGAATTATCATAAGAAGGCTGTTGTTTTTTCTGAACTGTTACCATTTTCATACAAAAAAAGTGACAATGCAGTTAAAAGTTGCTTTAGTGTCACAATATTCACTCACGTTTTCCTCAATCGCATTGAAACATAATTCCTACTGGTCAGTTCGAAACCGCATGTAATTAAATAATTATTTCGAGATTTCGTTAGAATGTAAGATATTCAGCCAAACGTTATGCAATAAAAGACGAATAGTTTTTTTCATTAAAATACGCGCACGCGTACCTGTACATTGCATACCTAGTGTCACGTAACTGCCCAGTGTGATGTATCAACGGGACATAAAATGGGAAATGAAATAGAAACTAACTAAAATTTAATGTTGTGGAAAATAACTCCAATGAATTTGAGTACACGCACATGAATTCGTATGATAAACTGTCAAAACGTTTTGAGAGGTAAGGCCGGGTTCATTAAAGATCGCTACAATATGTAAAACAGGTGAAATTTGTAGAACTAAAGGAAACATCCAACCAAAAGCCCTTTTTAAATAGTAATGTAATGATATAATATAAAGTATATTTCACATGATACAATATACTTTGCAAACAGTTAGTTGATGCTTGAAAGGGACTGACGAAAACATGGGCGAAATATTTTAATAACGCCGTAAAATAGTTGAATTAAGTAAAAATTAGTTAAATTTTGTGTCATGATACTTGAATAAATACATTTAATGTATTTGCGAAAGAAAAACATGAGTTTTGAGTAAAGAAACATGTTCTCGCCCATGGGCCTGCCCATGGGCCAAACCTTTTTCTCGCCCATGGGCGAAATATTTCAATATCGCTATAAAATCGTTGAATTAAGTTAAAATGAGTTAAATTTTGTGTCATGATACTTCAATAAATACATTAAATGTATTTGCGAAAGAAAATCATGAGTTTTAAGTAAAGAAACATGTTCTCGCCCATGGGCCTGCCCATGGGCCAAACCTTTTTCTCGCCCATGGGCGAAATATTTCAATATCGCTATAAAATCGTTGAATTAAGTTAAAATGAGTTAAATTTTGTGTCATGATACTTCAATAAATACATTAAATGTATTTGCGAAAGAAAATCATGAGTTTTAAGTAAAGGAACATATTCTCGCCCATGGGCCTGCCCATGGGCCAAACCTTTTTCTCGCCCATGGGCGAAATATTTCAATATCGCTATAAAATCGTTGAATTAAGTTAAAATGAGTTAAATTTTGTGTCATGATACTTGAATGAATACATTAAATGTATTTGCGAAACAAAAACATGAGTTTTAAGTAAAGGAACATATTCTCGCCCATGGGCCTGCCCATGGGCCTACCCATGGGCCAAACCTTTTTCTCGCCCATGGGCGAAATATTTCAATATCGCTATAAAATCGTTGAATTAAGTTAAAATTAGTTTAATTTTGTGTCATGATACTTCAATAAATACATTTAATGTATTTGCGAAATAAAATCATGAGTTTTAAGTAAAGGAACATGTTCTCGCCCATGGGCCTGCCCATGGGCCTACCCATGGGCCAGACTTCGCCCATGGGCCACACTTCGCCCATGGGCAGGCCCATGGGCGACATAGTCTAAATATTGAGTTTTTAAACAATTTTTTTTTCATTTTTTCTTCCTTGGTATGTTCCAATGAAAACGGCATGTTTAATTTTGTAAATACCTTTAACCGAGACTGGGCAAAGAGCGTAGAGTTTCTGGACTTTTGGGTTTCCAGAATTAAAATGGGACGTGTTATTTGCTATTTATTAACGAGTGTCTAATTTAAATAACTGAAATGTTCATTACTTCATTCATTTCGTGGTAGCGTGGCTTCGAGTTGTGTGCTTGACAAGTTTCGCTAATCTTGGTTCAAATCCCGAATGCTGTCGGGTAAATGCTTTCAATCTATTCTATTACAGTGATGACAACATTTTTAGGTAACATTCAAGCCAGGATTGAAGGGGAAAATGATCGACAATATCAAGACGGAAATTGGCAAGATTTGCACGGAACTTAAAGGCAGTAAGGACGGACGTCTGATTGTGTATTATTCCGGCCACTTTGGAGAAAAGCATAACTACCGCATTGGCAGTGATGATTTCATGTCTGATAAAACATTTTCGGATATGTTGGGACAAATCGAAGCGAGGTTCATGTTGTTGATCTTAGATACCTGTCATGCTGGGTCAGCCAGGATGGGTGCGAAAGGAAACGAAGGCGCAAATCATGGTGTGCCAATACCACAACTGTGGAAACTCATAGGGGGTCAATCAGATACTAAAGGATCCAAGGGGGGACAATCAATTTCATTTAAACATGAGAAAATTGTCCAGTGGTGTTCCTGCAAAAGTGAAGAAAAGGCCCGTTATGATAAAGAAACTGAAATTAGTCTTTTCACCAAAGCTATCAAAGACGTTTTAGATGGCACTATGCTCAGAGCAGCTGGTACTACTCATGCTACTGTACTCCAGATACATAACTGTATAAAGTTATCCGATCAAACCCCCCAGATCCTACCCCTCAACGCCGACGATGCGTACTTTAGGGATTATCCTAAATTTGCTAAACTCCAAAAGACATCATGAACGTCTACTCACCTATTCTGTGAGTGAATTAGTGGACCTGTTCATCATATTTACAATTATTTACTTCGGTATGTGTTTCCATTTGATATATAGACACACCATTGATCAGATCCCATATTCCAGCGTGGTATGTTGGACATACAGAATGATTACAACCTGTGCGAAATGTTCAGCAGAAAATAATTTCATTAAACTTTGAAAATATATCAACAAAGTCCACATGTGGAGTATATTATTATTCACGTTTTTCTTAATCCATCACCTGTCTAGCAATTGTTTCCTATGACAACCAAAGTCAAGTATGCTGATATTTAGGTTAATGAACTAGCAATGGTCTGAAGTGCTTCTTCTCACCTTTTATATAACAGTTTGTATAGTATATACATATAATAGCTAGATGACAGGTGCCTCACATGTGTATCAGATTAGATATGTGATGGTCAGTGCATTCACTAGTGCAAATTATATTTAAGAAACTGGTGTAGCAGCGGTGACGTTTCTTCTAAACTTGGGACCGCCTCCGTGGTCTAGTTGTAGAGCGTCCTCCAAGAGAGCGGAAGGTCCGGGGTTCGATCCCCGGCCGCGTCATACCAAAAGACGTTAAAAGATGGTACTTGTTGCTACCTTGTCTGGCGCTCGGCATTAAAGGGGCACTGATCTAACGCAATTCCCCGGGACTGGTTGTTGCCTTTGTTATTGTTTTTTCCCAGTGAGTACCCGGATGTATAGCAGAAATCTAGACTAGTTCGCGACCTCTGCTGCGCCATTCGTAAGCGCATTAGTCACTTGTATGGGTAGTAATATAGAGGGCGTATGGTCACATTGATCAACAAAATGAAATACAGTTTTGGAGATAATAAGGAAATGTAGGTATCTTTGTGGTAAGCATCGGTAATGGTGACGAAGTTTTGATAAGTCACTTGCTTGGTAATTTTGCGATTTTCGTTTACACTATTTTGACTTGCAACACAAAGTAAATATTTCACCTGAGCATTGCTTTTTGATAGTGTGTATATTTTTTACTGTCAAAATGTGTAACATTTTCAAATTTATTCAACGCCTAAATATTCAGTTATTTAACAAAGTGACTGAAAAACATTTCCATCTGTATTATTATGATAACGAATTCCAAACATTTTGATGTTTAATGTCATCACCAAGAGACTGAAAATGTTACGTTGGAAAGTACATTTCTATGTTGTTTGGCTTCTAATCCTACATAATAATCTGTTGTGATGTTTGTAGGCCCTTTTGATCGCCTCAATCAATCTGGACAGATTTTTTAGTCAAAATGACTGAAATATTTACACATTTTATAAATTGCCTGAGAGAATTACATTTTACAAATTGACGGTAATATATACCCGCTTACAAGGGAAAAGGCCTGGGAAAACAACGTCTATCGCGCATTGAAGAATTTCCCAACCAAGACATAGAGAAACAAAGACGAATCGGTTCAATGCTACAGCAAATGAAGGAAAACAAAATGCAAATACCATAATTACAACCTATCAATTTTATGTGTATAAATTTTAGGCAGCTTCCTTGTTCGAGGAATGTATCCGTGAATATCCACACAAAGGAACATTATCCCATTCGTCTGCAGCTGTACAAAAAAAAAACTATTCGATGTCACGTGTCTCTGTAACAATCACATATTTTAAAAGATATATATCGTTTCGGGATATTATAACCCGTGTTCGTTTCTCAACTGATCACTTGGATTGTTTCAGGTGTTTCACATAGGTGTCAAGTCTCAAGGGTCAGCTGAGAAAGCCCACGTGACAACTATTTTCATAACGTCCACGGTTCCTAAAAAATCCATTGAGTGATAGATAACAATGATCATTCAATCAACGTATTATCAGTTCACCCTTTGAACAAAGTATGTTGTTTTTACATCGGCACTTTACGCAAGGATATGTGTGTGTTCCCTTTGTTTTAGTAAACCTAGACATGTAAACACTCACTTTTGACATATCCACTGTGCAAGATAACAGTGATTAATCAATCAACGTATTTTCTGTTAATCCTTTGATGACTAGGAACGATCCGTTGATTTACAAAAAAAAGTAAATCAACTGATCATTCACCTCTTGCTGGTCTGCCACGTGCATATTACATAACACACATTTCACCTCACTTCAAACCTGGATTTAGATTGAATAATTACCCCAGACACAATAAATGCCAAATGGGAACCTTTGTCAGGTAATCTATGTGGTGCTACCACTAATTGTACCTGTAATAAATTCATTAACTGAGCATCAAGTGAATGACGACAAATACACAAGTGTAGGGTTATGCGAGAAAACGTGGATGACAACAAGGGAGTAGTAATCGTATTATCGACGCAATCCGAAAACCGAAAATGCTTTCACTGCATGGATACTTTTTTTAGTGTTAACTATAACCATCTGGGGTATTTCCAAATGACGACATCCGATGAGCTCCGCCGTTCTTTTTGTCTGTTAGTTTAGGCTGAAGAAATTAATTAACATGCGCCCTTTGTCGAAATCTTTTTAGATCACGGTTAACAAATCAGTGTTTATGCAAAAATGCGTAAAACAAATATTGCCTCCAGCCTCCAAATTTATTTAGCTGTCCTTGCAGACGGTAGCCCAGTCTCTGGTCACGCTCAGTTGCGTTGCGTATCATCCGGGTACTCAAGGGGGAAAAAACAATAACAAAGGCAACAAGTCCGGGGAATTGCGTTAGATCAGTGCCCCTTTAAGGGGCTAAAACAAGGACTGGTCGGCTCGGAGTCAGTATACTGTGTCTGAGTGTGGTATTCATGTTAAACTGCAGAATGGTATCTCAGTGAGCCAGCACTATAAATCGACATCAGTCCGGACTAGTACAAGCAGCCACACAAACACACAAACGTACATTCACGTCGCTTTATAAGTGCAATAATCTTGGACGCGACGTTAAACCCCGTTTCACCTCACCTCACCTCTTCTAAACTTGGCCAAGTGAAGTCTAGCACAAGAAACAGTGATGCAGTATTACTGCCAGCATGGGGCAGCATCCCGTCTGTGAACGATTACGAACTATGATCTGTAAGTTCCATGCCCTTGCTTGTAAAGTAGACACGGACAACGTTACCATTTTGTCACAAATAAAGCTGAAATCCTAGGAAATACGATTGTAAAGAACTCCGCGTTAATGTTCAACAATTATAGTTCATCAGTGACCTTGTCGTAAATACCCTCATCAGTTAATGTTGCCATTTGTATGTTCCTTTTTTTAAGAAAGACCAAGTATGAAATAAACTTGATGCCAAGCCTAATTGATTTCCTTATTTAGTATCACCTACATGTTGAAAATCATTTCAATTCACAGTTCTCAGGAGTGATTCTCCAAACACACGAATACATCAACTTTATAGTTAGTCACGTTCTTAAATGTGATCAAGCAAACTCACACAGTACATGATTTTGCTACCTAAACCTTGACGCCATGCACCAATCTGCATCTACCAGATTTAGTGAACATCTTGTTTCCTGCTACATGTATGTTTGTAGATATACACTCAGAAAATAATAGATTGAATACAAAACACTGTACTGTGTGTGTGTGTGTGAGGTGTGTTAGTGTAATTGTGTCTGGTAAAGTTTGTGAAATTATGATTCATTTCCATAACAGGAACTTTCCGCTGTAATATGCAGTTACATGTTCTTGTCAAAACTTAAAACTCAAAACTTAACACTTACAACCTAAGACGTTAAGGGTCAAAGGGAGACTACTCTTCAAACCTCAGAGGACACACCTTGTTGATAATTTTAACTTTATATAATCTTTATTAAAGTCACGAACGTGATCCAAAAAATCTTTAACGTCGTTGCACATTGAAATTAATTATATTTAAACTCAAAACAGTGTCGAATAACGAATTTCTGTACCAGAATGTTTATGTGAAATACGTGTGGTGGGTGTTGGAAAAACCAAAATGGCTGTTACTGACGGTATACGATCTTATATTAGGTCAGTAACAACCATCTTGGATTTTTACTGATGGTATACGGGCACATGTTGGGTTAGTAGTTCTGCTGTCATGTGAGCGGCCTGCAGAAAGTAATAGATCTTCAACAGACTTTCGGGAAAACTTTGCATCGTGTTGTTCTGTACAATTAGCGACATCTGGAAGGCGATCTACTACTACTGTTTGTTGTTTAACGCCACGCTCAGCAATATTCCAGCTATATGACGGCGGATTGTAAATAATCTAATCTTGACCAGACAATCCAGTGATTAATATCATGAGAATCGGTCAACGCAGTTGGGATACGATGACATACATCAACCAAGTCAGCGAGCCATACCCGATCCCGTTAGTCGCCTCCTACGGCAAGCATAGTCGCCTTTTATGGCAAGCATGGTTTGCTGAAGACCTATTCTACACAGGATATTCA